TTTCCGACCCGGACAATTTTAGGGGTCTACACCTATGTTGATAGTGATTATTGAAAATCAGAGAATAAGATCTTCTCTGATTATTGATTATTGAACAACTATGATAGGAAACCTAAATGCCGCACCTGACTCTTGCTTCTTCCTCCTGGAAGTCGAATAAGAAGTAATGAGGAGCTACTTCTTCTTCTTCCCGCTTCTATAGTTATACTCCATCCCTGTTAGGGTAGGGAGTGGTTGAATCGCAACATTAGGAAAGTGTGAATTCAATGAGATACGTGCAGTACGAAGTGGTGAAAGAGGTAACGAGAGAGAGAGAGAGGAAGTGCGAATATGAATCCAAGAGAGAGAAAGTGTGCGAAAGTGATGAAAAAGTGTGAATGAGCATATGGGTTCTAAAAATTCTAAAAATATGAATCTGAACAGAGGTTGGTAAATTTAAATTAATATAAATTATACTTAATATATATTTTAAAAAAACTATTCTTTAATTAAAATTTTTATTATTAATTTATTAAAAAATTTCAATGAGCAGGAAAATTTGTAGGAAAATTTTCCTACGATTTTTCCTATAATTCATCAAAATATTATCTATTAATTATATTTGCAACAAAACAAAACTTGTAGGAAAAAAAAATTTACAATTTTTTTAGAATTTTTTATCTGCAAAAAATACTATTTATATTAAATGTGGTTGCAATAAAATTTGTAAATATTTTTTACAAATTTATTTTCGCAAAAATTTTGGCAAGAATCTCCTGCAATTTTTAATTTGTAAAAATTTTCACAAAAATTTTATAAAATATTTAATTTGTAAAAATAATCACAAATATTTCGTGGAAAATTCTTTTCGTAGGAAAATCCGCAAAAAAAAACCATATTTCTAGTAGTGAGATATTGTAGCATAATCTACTCTTAAAAGCTAAGTTCATAGCAACAATAAATCAAGTTATGTGATTAAAAAAGGTTTTACATGATTTACATATGCAACAAAATCATAAAACTGAAATCTTCATTGACAACCGGCAACAATGGCAATTTCAAAGGATCCAATGTGTCATGGAAGGACTAAACATTTTAACATCAAGCTCTAGTTTTTAAGAGAAATGCAACAAACTGGAGAAGTGACTCTAGATTATAACAAGTCAAAATTGGTAGATTTGTTTACAATGTCGCTTCCTGTGAGCAAGTTTGAGATGTTGAGGTAGAAGATTGGAGTTTGCAGATTTTAAAGCAAGGAGGAGTATTAGTTATTTGCTTTTTGGCCTCCGTTACGTGTCTTCTTTGTTTCTTATCTTTTAATGTTTTAATTTTTTAAAATAGTTAGTTATAATTTAAAAATATTGTAATTAAATATTTCACTCACAAACTTCGTTAGAATCCCGTTAGCTATGATGATCGAATATATTAATTATCGTTTAATATGTTAATTACCATTCTATTTTCATTAGTTTTAAATGCTTTCAATTAAATATCAAATGTTTATGTTACTTACACCAAAATTTAGAATTCATTTCACATTCAGATTATATTTCAGTTTTTAAACTCTTTTGATATATATTTTTAATTTATATTTATTCATAAAGACTAAAAAAAAAATGAAAATAGAACTTTTTTAGCTCACATATATTTATGTTGGTTATACCTAAGCCTGTGCAATACATAAGATGAATGTTAATTTTATACAATTAAATTTTTAATAAAAAATATTTTTAAATATATTAAATATATGTAAATAGCTATGCAAAATAATATCATTTACGATAGATAATATTTATTTTATATAATTATGATTTATAATAAATAATTACTTTTAATTATTTAAATTAAATAATAATTAAAATTGTAAGAAATAAATATTTTAAAGACATAAATTATATTTTTATTTGCAATAAAAAAGTATATTTTAATGTAAAATGTTTTTAATTATTTATAATTTTTTAAAAATGTTAAATTGAATTTTAAGCTAAAAATAAAAAATAAAAATAGAAAAAGATAAGAGGTTGAAAACAAATTATAAAAACGTTATTGAAAAAATATCAACCGAAAACATAATTTAGTTTGAATTGATTTTAAAAATTAACTTTAAAATTTAAATTACATAGACAAAATGTAACAGCCCAAATTTTCGCGGGGCCGTGGGCCCAATTCGTTGCCTACCCATAATCCATAATCGCACCGAACCCATAACCATACAGCCATAGACCTATAATCGTAAACACATACGTACACTTGTGAACGCCATAACCCACACACTCAACGCACAACATCACATAATCTACAACCTCACGGAATGAGAGTGATAATGAGAACAACAATCACGCACGTAGAGAAACAAATAAAAGGTTAGAATCATACATGAGAGAAATGCATAGAGAGGAACGTGATGAGAAAGATGCAGAGAGGAACGTAGAGAGGAAAGCACAGAGAGAAGCAAGCATACGAAATGAGAAAATTTTAGGGATTCTAATTTTTGTTTTAAAG